TTATAGATAAATATTTTTATATTTACTTGAATGTTTCTATTTAAATATGAAGCGTATTGAATTTTAAAAAAATATAATTATTCATCTTTTTATCTCTATCTTTTTTTCTTACTTGCTTCAAGTATGCTCGATTGTGCAATAATACTGAATCAAAGCTCACTCTAAGTCATAATTGTCATTATTCTAAATCGTGCCATCTAAATATATTAGTCATTGACTCCTATATATATACTAGTTATTAGGTTCCCGCGCCAGCGCGGGCCCAATGTATATTACTTCCTCCGTCTCATTTTATGTGAGGTAGTTTGATTCGCCACGGAGTTTAAAAAAGAAATGAAGACTTTTAAAATTTGTGGTCCAAAATGAATGATATAAATTTGTATGACTGTAAATTATTTCATTAAGGGTAAAATAAATATTTTATAATCAAATTGTTACTTAATATAGAAATGTGACATTCTTTTGGGACTGACTAAAAAGGAAAGTAAATAACATAAATTGGGAGTAGTTCTTTGTTTCAATTTATGTGACACCGATGAAATTTGGAGAGTTATATAATTTTTTGTATGTGATTTTGTTCAATATATTTTGAAGTTGTTAATTTATTGTGATTTATAGCACTTCTTATATCATTTTCAAATAATATATATTACTCTTTCTGTTCCATTTTATGTGACGTAGGTACTTTTACGAAACTCAACTAAATTTCTTATATGATTCTTAAATATTTTTAGTTGTTATTTTACTTTAATTTACGTTACTTTTTATGTTATTTTCAAACTTCTTTTGTTTCAATATGGAATTAAAGAGTCAATAAAATTTCTTTAATGATTTTTAATTATGTTTTTTTAATATCTTATATTATTACATTGTGATTTTAAGTACTTTTTATGTAATTTTTAAATCTAGAACAAATTAAAAGAAAAACAAGGAAAAATTTAAATGAAGAAAATACTAAAATTTTCAAATCATCATATTTCTATATTAAAATGTTAAAAACTTTAAAACTCCACATATATGCAGAAAATCATATACGGAAGACAAAATAATTTTTAAAATATATATTAAAGCTCTTTCTAATAATATCACATATTTATTCTATTTTTCAAATAATATATATTACTCACTCAATCTCAATTACGCAGTACATATGAAATTTTGAGAGTTAATCAAATTCTTAGTACTATTTTAAACTATATTTTAGTACTATTTATATAATTTTCAAATAATATATGTTACTCACTCTATTATATTATGCAATACATGTGAAATTTCAAGAATTAACCAAAATTTCAATATTTTAAATTGATTTTTAGTACTATTTTTGTAGTAAATAGAGGAAGTTGAAGAAGAAGGGCAAATCGGTCAATTGACTGACTAACCCTAAGCTCCTAAACATTGTCACTTCTAAATGGAAGCACGGGCACAATATCCGTTAAATTGTTAATTATTATGATTTATAATATTTTTTACATTATTTTCAAATAATATATGTTATGTATTTTTAAATACTTTAAGTTGTGATTAATAATATTCTTAACGTAATTTCAAATAATATATGTTACTCCATTTGTCCCAATTTATGTGACACATGTTACTCATATGTTTTTCAAATATTGTAAGTTGTTAAGTATTGTGGTTTATGGTATTCTTAATGTAATTTTTCAAATAATATATGTTATTCCCTTCGTCTTAATTATACAATTCGCGTAAAATTTTGAGAGTTAATCGAATTTGTAATATTTTAAATTTATTTTTTAGTACTATTTAAAAAGGAAAAAATTAAAATATTACTATATAAGAAGAGTAGTAATTATATAGTAATTTTTCAAATAATATATGTTATTCCCTTCGTCTTAATTATACAATTCGCGTAAAATTTTGAGAGTTAATCAAATTTGTGATATTTTAAATTTATTTTTTAGTACTATTTAAAAAGGAAAAAATTAAAATATAATGAAAGAGGAGTGTATAAAAATAGGTGGGCCATATTTGTGATAGGTGGGCCATCTTCAAAAACCAAATGTAAAAGTAGGTGGGCCATCTTGGTGCCACGTGTCGAAAGAAGAGTGAATTTTATTTACTCTTCTTATATTTAATATTTATATTTATTCACTCTTCTTATATTTATATATTAATTATATTATATATAGTAATATATATGATATATGATTTAAATAAAATAAAAGTAGGTGGGCCATGGTGCCACGTGTCGAAAGAAGAGTGAATTTTATTCACTCTTCTTATATAGTAATATTTATATTTATTCACTCTTCTTATATTTATATATTAATTATATTATATATAGTAATATATATGATATATGATTTAAATAAAATAAAAGTAGGTGGGCCATGGTGCCACGTGTCAAAAGAAGAGTGAATTTTATCCACTCTTCTTATATAGTAATAATATTTATATTTATTCACTCTTCTTATATTTATATATTAATTATATTATATATAGTAATATATATGATATATGATTTAAATAAAATAAAAGTAGGTGGGCCATGGTGCCACGTGTCGAAAGAAGAGTGAATTTTATTCACTCTTCTTATATAGTAATATATATAATATAATATTACCTTATAAACATGAACTCCTAACTTGAATATTAAATTATTATAATATCCCTTACTTAGCTTGTGACTTTTTCGATGAGTTGCGACTTTTTCAATAAGTTGCGACTTTTCTCGAAGAGTTGTGATTTTTTGATGAGTTGTGACTTTTTCAATAAGTTGTGAATTTTCCAAAGAGTTGTGACTTTTTCAAAAGGGTTGTGACTTCTCGAAATGGTCATGCCTTTTCAGATAAGACACAAAAAACATTTGTTCATACTACCCTTTGTTGACTATAAATAGAGGGACTTCCTCTAATTTTTCAACCACAATTTTTTTAATCTTCTACTCTTCTTCTTTCATTATAATTTTTTTTGTGTGATTTATTGTCATTGAGTGAGTTCGAAGTTTAGCGGAATATGAGGTACCACTATTCTGATGAAGTAAGTCGTTCTATCCCAAGAGGGTATATTCCATAACCTCGAGTACTTGAGGAAAATAATTTTGATGATATAATAATTATGTTTTTGCTTAATATATACATTAGTATATAATGTTTCAATATATGAATTTAACATGATGTAGTCTAAATTCATTTGTTTTTGTCAACAATTTCTTTTGAGATGTAGATATATGCTTATGAATATCTTTTCCATTTAGAGAATTGTCACGATTTGTTTTTGATGCTCAAGACAAAAGAATGACTTTATTTATCAATGCTACTTATGTGATTTAAACTCTCATGAAGTTTGCTTCAAGATAGTTATTACTACATAAATATTGCCCTTTTGTATTTAAATTAAAGTATTATATATGTCACAAGTTAACAAGATCTTCTAACTTCAAAATATATTATTTTAAAATGTTCTGAAACTCACAACAAATGTGAAAATATGTGAATATAAAAAATGTAGTTGTTCTCTTCACATGTTCATATGATATTTAAATAATTTAACGTGGAATACACATGCAAAACACATCTGGTTAGATGACGAGAAAAATACAAGGTGAATATTGTCTATAAGGTAATATTAGTGAGATAAGACTAATTACATAATTGAACCTCATCAAATTGAAATAAATATATACATTGTTGCATTTAACTAATAAAATATTTCACTGACCATCTTCATAGGTTTGCGTGAATAAGTGATATATATGACGATCCACGTTGAACATTCACAAAAGAATCTTTAATATTATTTTCTGCTAAGCTTATTATTCAAATCTTCGTTTAAATAAACAATATTACTATTTACTATAACATATATTTTTAAAATTGGTAATCACGTGCAACACACGTGTAAAAAAACTATTGTATATAAAATATAGGATAGAAACTTCACTTGTAATAGTTTGATCAATCTAAGTGGCAATATTTTAAACATTTCATTGCAAATGTTAATCTGAAAAAAGGAGCAAATTTTTAAAGCTTTTTAATTACAGTGCTTGACCCTGTAAGAATGTTTTTCTTCATTAAGAATCTCAGAAGAAAAAAATGAATGTCACTAAAATAAACAAAATAAAATAAAATAGAACAATCGAAGAAACAAAATAATGGAGTTTGGACCAAAAAAGTGTATAATCCCTCCGTTTAATTTATATAATACTATTTGACTTGATACAAAGTTTAAGCGAGATATTTTTTATTTGAAAAAATTATTAATTAAAAACAAAAATTACATATTTCCATTACTATTCATCATTTTATTAAGATAAAATAATAAAGTTAAAATTTTCCAATTATAGAATTGTTTCAATTTGTTTATCATATTTATTAACAAAAAAAATAGTTCATTTAAAAATGATAGTTTAATTATTACTTTTTATTAGCTCTTTAATTTTAACATTCTAGCTTACATGTTTAATATCATAAAATTATTATTTTTGATGCATTTAACATTTTTTTTTATTCAAGATGATAAAATTAAAAAAAATTCTAACTTTCTTAAATTTTATATCGAATTTACACCAAACAAACAAACTAAAACGAACACAATAATATGTTATCTTAAGATAAATTGAAAAAGAAAATGTGTCAAGTAAACTCGATCAATTAGCTTAAGGTGTGAAAAGGGGAAAAAAAAGTCTAAAAGTCACAAGTCATCTAAAGTTTTTTTTCCTACATTTTCAATATTTTCATTTCAGTACTTTTGTTTTTTAAAAAAGAAAAATTATAACGGGTCCGAAGTTCATATTAAAATTCCAATACACTGCAAGATTCATTCGAAAAGATGTTTCTAACAAAATTTTCTTCATATTTAAATCTCGAATGTGAAAGTTCTAATTAAAATAAAATAATCTCACCAATGTACCACAATTCATGTCGATCCATTTCGGTATTTCAATGAATTATATTTTGGTTCAAAGAATAATGATGGGTTTCACACTTGCTAAAAACTTTTCCAACAAACAAATGAAATATCAAGTCAAGCAACTGGTCGTCGCCTGTCCCCGTTTTAACACTCTTTTTCTTTTTTGCAATTTCTTTGCAAGTTTTCAGTTTTAGTTCTCACTGTTAGCCTTCTTTTTTTGACCAAAGAAAAACTGTATCATCATCTTTTTGCCCCTTTTCTTCTTTGTAATTGACCATCAAGATCCAGCATTTGATATCCTCAACTGGGTTGTAAGTATCTTGCATCTGTAATTTCTTGGTCTTCTTTTGATAGTTTTAATGCTCAATTTGTTTATTGGTAGAATTTCTTATTAAAAATTATTTCTTTATTATGTTGTTGCTTGCCTTTGACTAAGGACTTGGTAATTTGTTGAATTTTGAAAGCTGTGTAGAAAGGGTCTGGACTTAATTTATGGAAATTGAAGTTTTTTTTTGGTATTTATTCCTAGTTCTTATAAAAGATTTTTTTTTATTGTTTTGGTAGCTGCTTTGAATAAGGACTTGGTAAATTTGTTGAATTTTGAAAGTTGTATAGGAAAGCTCTGGACTTGTATTTCTGGAAATTGAAGTTGAATTTGGCCTTTTGTTGTTTGATCTTAAGAACCCTTTTTGGGTTTTGTGGATTGTGTGAGATGGGGTTTGTTTAATATCTAGTAGGGGTCTTTTTTCTTTTTTGAACTTTCTTCTTGAAGGTGTGAACTTTTGAGCTTTTGGATGTGGATGTGGAAGATCAAGTAAATTCTGTATTTCGGAAAGAATCTCTCTACCATCTCAAGGTAGGGGTAAGGTTTGTGCAGTACCCTCCCTAGACCCGACCTGTGGGATTACACTAGGTTTGTTGTTGTCGTTGTTGTTGTTGACCTTAATAATTGTGACTAACCATTTCTTTAATACATTGGTTGCCTTCTTGAATACTTTGAAAGAGGACAGTGGTTTATTATTTGTTGAAATTTGGAAGTCATGGTCAAAAAACTCTCAACTTTGAAACTTTCTGGGATTGGAATTCGCTCTCTTGTTGTTTGATTTTCAGAACCTTTCATGGGTTCTACTAGCCTTGCTTGTTGGGATTCGTTGTATAGCAAGTAAGGAGGGTTTCTTCAACTTCCTTCTTGGAGGTGTGAAGTTTGTGCTTGTGGCTTTGTAAGGTCAGATAAAATCATCTTTCAATAAAAAAAATTAGTGTGTTTTGTTTATATCAAGTAGGGGTGTTCTTTTTTCTTCTTTTCTTTCAACTTCCGTGTGAAAGGCGAAAACTTTTATGCTTGTCGCTGTAGATGATCAGGTGAAATCATCTTTTGAATGAAGTTTTCCTTTTGTTGATGATAATTTATGTAAGTGCATCTCTTAGATTGCTGTAATTGTGCTTCTTCTCATCCCAGGTCTCTTTTGCCTCCTTGTTTGCTGTTTTTCCCATTAAAATCTGTAAGGAACAGTTTTCTGCTTGTATCTGACTTGTCCGATAATCTTTATTTTGGTTGTCCTGTAAGTGTGGGACTTGAGTACCTTTACTTCTGGAGAATCACTAGTTTGCTTAAGAAGAAAAGTTGTCTAGTGTTGATATGAAATGAGTCCTAATAGAGCGGATGAAACGTAGATTCATATAGTTTTTTCCGACTAGTTTGGAAGTGAGGCAGCGTTGATTGATTGATAAAACTGATTCATCATCTTATTTTTTTCCTTGCAGCCTTACATTTTGCTTTTTAACTCGGGAGAAATTGGATTTGTTCTTGCAATGGATTTTTCGGGGTTGCAAACTAGTCTATAGAGATCTTAAATGTTTCAGTCAACTGCTTAATTAGGACCTTCGATTGTTGCGGTTATGACTGGGCCTCTCACCAAGATGGCTTTGGATAACAGAGATCTTACTACCTTTGCTGCTATTTTGATCTACTTGGTCTTGAGCTGTGCTGTTTGCTCTGCTGTTCAAAGCGACATTGACTGTCTGAAATCTATAAAAGATTCATTTGAAGATCCATTGAAATTCTTGAACACAACATGGCAGTTCGATAATCAGACCGAAGGTTTCATCTGCAAGTTTGCTGGGATTCAGTGCTGGCATCCTGATGAAACCAGGGTTCTGAGTATCAGTCTTCCTGACATGGGTCTCAAGGGCAAGTTTCCACGTGGTCTTGAGAATTGCACCTCTATTACATCATTAGATCTTTCGAGCAACAATCTCCATGGAAGTATTCCAACTAATATCTCCAAAATTATACGTTTTGTGGTAACGCTGGATCTCTCATCCAACAATCTATCAGGGGATATCCCAGTTAATCTTGCAAACTGCTCTTTTTTGAATAGCCTTAGACTTGACCACAACCAGTTTACGGGTCAAATTCCTCCAGAAATTGCCCTGCTTGGTCGGCTCAAGAATTTTAATGTAGCAAACAATCAATTGTTCGGACCAGTCCCACGTTTCATAAATTCAACTTTTCCTGCAGAGAGCTATGCCAATAATGCCGGACTGTGTGGACCACCATTACCTCTTTGTAAGGGTAATGCTAAGCAACCCCATACTGGAATCATTGTTGGTGCAGCTGTTGGTGGGGTGACTTTAGGTGCTGTATTATTGACCATTGGTATGTTCTTCTATATGAGAAAGATATCCAGGAAGAGGAAAAAGGAAGATGATCCTGAAGGGAATAAATGGGCGAAGAGTATTAAGGGTTCCAAGGCAATCCAGGTGAGAATTAAAAAACTGTGTCATTACTGAAACTTCTGTTCGCTCTTTGTTGATAGGTCATAAATCAATTCTAGTGGGTTGTGGTTTGTGTTTACGGGTTCTACTGTGGCTTTGCAATCATATTTAGAACCATAAATTCGTGTTTTCATATAAGCATTTAACTAATGAATTTTTCACCATAAGCTCTTGTGTGAGTTTTCTCTTGCTCAAGCATTCTTAATTGACTTAAGGTGCCTTATTTTCAGCTTTCAATGTTTGAGAAATCTACTTCAAAAATGAGATTAAGTGATCTCATGAAGGCCACCAACAACTTCAGCAAGAACAATATTATTGGGTCAGGAAGAACCGGGACATTCTACAAAGCAGTACTTGATGATGGCACTTCACTTATGGTTAAGAGGTTGCAGAATACTCAACACTCAGAGAAAGAGTTTACATCCGAGATGGCTACGTTGGGAAATGTAAAGCACTGTAACCTGGTGCCTCTTTTAGGTTTCTGCATGGCGAAAAAAGAAAGGCTGTTGGTCTACAAAGATATGTCAAATGGCACCTTGTATGATAGGTTGCATTTGGTGAGTGAAGGGGAAAAAACTCTTGAGTGGCCTATGAGAATGAAAATCGCCATTGGAGCAGCCAAAGGATTTGCATGGCTTCACCACAACTGCAATCCTCGTATCATCCACAGAAATATTAGTTCTAAATGCATCTTGCTGGATGTGGAATATGAACCTAAAATATCGGATTTTGGACTTGCTAGGCTCATGAATCCAGTTGACACTCATTTGAGTACCTTTGTAAATGGGGAATTCGGGGACTTTGGTTATGTTGCACCTGAGTACGCACGAACTCTCATGGCTACACCAAAAGGTGATGTGTACAGTTTCGGTGTTGTACTTCTCGAGTTAGTTACAGGTGAGACACCAACTTCTGTCGCCAAAGCTCCCGAGACCTTTAAGGGGAATTTGGTGGAATGGATCACACAACTCTCTGGTGAATCTAAGCTTCAAGACGCGATTGACCATTCTTTGTCTAGTAAAGGTTATGACAGCGAGATCTTCCAGGTCCTTAAAGTTGCTTGTCGATGTGTGTTGCCTGCTGCTCCTAAGGAGAGGCCAACAATGTTTGAACTGTACCAGCTTCTGAGAGCCATCGGAGAGCGATATCATTTCACCACTGATGATGACATTATGATGCCTGAGAGTGATAGCGGATTCCAAATGGACGAGCTCATTGTTGCTCAATAAGTAAACGAGGCCCTTCGATAATGGTTGAGTAAGATACAATAATTACTAGATCATTTTCTATCCTGTACAAATACCACGGTTCACTATCTATATAGATCATTCTATTTCTACTGTAAGTCCCTTATTCATAGCTACCCAACTATGTAATTTGTGCTTCTTTTTCTGTATTTTTAATGGTGAAGAGATTTCTACAGATTGGTGTTAGTCAGTATTTTTCCTCTTTTCAGATTTACTGCTTGAACAGTGTTAGTCAGTATAAGATCTTGGAAATTCTTTATCCTTTTCATATGTATATAACAAGATTTATCATCACATCCAAAATAATAGGAAGGTTCAAACCTACATTGATGGACACAATAACAACATACACGAGGTCTGGGAGGGTAGAGTGTATGCGGATATTATAGAGAGGCTCAAGTATTCTTTGTACTAATCTAACTATGTGGAATATAAAATGCAAAGTCTTCAAATGTTTGGAACATTTTACAGTCAGCTTTGAGTGATGGATTTTTTCCAACTTTGCATTTTATAATGGGAAAAGGCTCAAATATGCCATCGAACTTTCTGAAAAAGCTTATTTTTGCCATCCGTTAAAAGTTTGCTCATCTATGCCATTACCGTTTAAGAAAAGGCTCATTCATGCCATTATTTTTTAACGGTGGTTTTGCAAAACCATTTTTTACACGTGGCCAATTATAACTCGGCCACGTCATTATTTTTTTTATAATAGAAAAATCAAAATTCTAAACAAACATTTTTTGCAAAACCATTTTTTACACATGGCCAATTATAATTCGGCCACGTCATTATTTTTTTCAGAATTTTGATTTTTTATTATAAAAAAATAATGGCGTGGCCGAATTATAATTGGCCACGTGTAAAAAATGGTTTTGCAAAACCACCGTTAAAAAATAATGGCATGAATAAGCCTTTTCTTAAACGGTAATGACATAGATGAGCCAAACTTTTAACGGATGGCATAAATGAGCCTTTTCTAAAAGTTCGATGGCATATTTGAGCCTTTTCCCATTATAAAATGCAAAGTTGGAAAAAATCCATCACTCAAAGCTGACTGTAAAATGTTCCAAACATTTGAAGACTTTGTATTTTATATTCCATATAGTTAGATTAGTACGAAGAATACTTGAGCCTCTCTATAATATCCGCATACACTCTACCCTCCCAGACCTCGTGTATGTTGTTATTGTGTCCATCAATGTAGGTTTGAACCTTCCTATTATTTTGGATGTGATGATAAATCTTGCTATATACATATGAAAAGGATAAAGAATTTCCAAGATCTTATACAAAATGATCTAATAAATACAACTTAGAGTTACTTATACTCGAAAATTCGTGGTACAGTCTCAGGCAAACTCCTATAAGGCCTTTATAGTAGATTACATTGGTTTTGGCCAGAAGCAAAAACCTAGGGAGTTGCCTGTTATGACCAACTAACTCTACTAAGATGATAAATATTCATCATCAGAGGAACTATGCTGCCGTTTAGCTGTGTAACTGCTAGTGACAGGTTGTAGATTTGGATTAACTGGAACTGGAAATTTATGCGCGGAGCTAACTACTGTCCTCTCATTTATCATTCCAACTTCCTTGCAAACGCGATCAAGAATCATTAGGAAGTCTTTGACCACCATGAAGGTTCTGAAAGGGTGAGCCTCTTCTCTAGCTGAATCTCCATGGAAATACTCGGTTATTTCCTTCACCAGTGACATGGCCAGTGCTTCTTGAGCTTGGAGCCTTATGATCTTCTCTTCTGCCATTTCCATAAACCTGTTCATGGACTCAGAGAATTTTTTAGTACTGCTTTCCTCTGATCCAACGGCTTCAATGTATCCTGCAACTTCAGTAATGTTTCCGATCCCCTTAGAAAGCTTTAAAACATCGCTGTGGAGCACTTCTGAATCCATAGCAGCAGCATTTTTAACATTTATAAGCTCTGAAGTAATGTTGGAAACAACTTGAAGGCCAAGTTTCCGGTACTTAGCGTCATCATTAGTGGTACACTGTTCGTTCTGATCTCCTCCGGAAAGACGAGTACCTTCACCTTTTATAATCTCCTGAACCACAAAATGTAAAAGGGTCGTTTTCCCATCTGCTCCCTTTACATCTACAAGCTTTAGCAGTGTGTCAAGTTTGAAGGCATGAGCATCTCCCCTGTTTGTCCCAACATTCATGCGGTTCCCTGTCTTCAACACGGCTTCCAGAAGCTTTAAGAACATTCTGCTACTTCTCAACTCTTCACATGCTGCCTGTAATAGGAAACCATTTTAAAGACACTTCACAAGTTCTGTTCTCTGATCTAAATCAAAATTCTTCTAGTGAATGGATCATCAATAACAAGTAGAAGTTGACGATGACTTAAAATAATTACCTCTAGAGTTTCAAATGACTTTCTGAGGTAGTCGACCTCATAATCAAAATTTGATATATACAGCATCGCGTCTACCCTTTTGAATGCAAAAGGTACATCAAGCACTGCTTTCAGAAACTTCTCTGCTGGCCCGAGCTTGACTGGAGAATCATCTTTGTATTCTTTTAGCTTACGTTCTTCCTCTTTGGATGGTGCCATCTTCAATAAAATCTCAAGGAGCTCAGTCCCAATAGTTTCAGCATTTCCTGAATAGAAGATGTAACTTGTTACTGCTGTCAATTCTCCTAAATCCAAACACTTAACAAGCTCTACATACACTTGAACTTCTGCCTATTGATGAAACCAACAAAGAACATTGAGGTGAAGGTAAACTTATAACATGATTTCGAAATCCATGTACTGAAATCCTTGTGAGCAAAGGAGCATAACTTTTAGCACGATAAACTACATGATTTTGCCTCAATCAATACTAACACACACTTCCATCATTCCATTTTTCAGCTCTTGATTTTCAATTCAGAGAGAGATTTAACTAATATAAACCACCAAATGTAAAGAATTCTTACAGTATCAAGCATTTTAGCCCATTGTAGTAGGTAATCTTTCTTATTTTCCAGCTTACAAAGCCCGATGGTTACCCGTAGTTACCTTTTAGGTCAACCTACTAGCATAACACACAATATGTTTAAGTTAAAACTCTTCAAAGAACGGTGAAAATGATGAATACCTTCTAAAAGGGCTTCACATATTTCCTCTGTGGTTACATTTATGGCCCTCAGCAAAATTGCAATGTTCTGTGCCTTCTTTGGATCAAGTACCCTATTCTCTTGGCTCGGTGAGGGAACAGGGCGTCTAGCTGTGTCGTTTGCATTCAAAGTTGGAGTCTTTACAACAAACAGTGTTTCTATCATCGCTTCATTCAACCTGCAAATTAACCAGTATCAGCTCTATTCAACTTATACAAACAAAAGGCAATAGTTACAGATTATCATACTTAAATGAGCTTGATTTCAGTTGATCCCAAACCATTTCGCGATCCGAACTTGCTCTCACTTTATCCCAATGCAAAGTTTTCAGCTTTGGTTTGGGTTCCTCAGTTTTCTCATCATTCTTCTCAATATGTTCCGAAATAGAAGGCAACTCCATTGGAGAAACCAATACTGGACTCTCAATTCCTACGGGTTTTAAAGGAGATTCAAGAACTGGAGGGTTAAATGCTGGCTTTGAAAATGGAGGTGAGGGTGTTTTGGGGATTTCCATATTCTTAGACGGAGGTGGCGGAGGTGGTCCAAAAGCTGGTGTGGCTTGCTGTATGTGATTTCTGATTCTCGCCGGAAACTGAACATCCTGATCCAAAAGATTGAAAATTCCCGGAGATGAGTCCATGCTTCTGGTTGAATATCTCTCTGGTGATAATGGGCATGGCGGTGATGGTGATGGAGATGGAGATTCTGCAAATGGTGGCACAATTGTCGCCGGTGGCGGTGGAGGAGGAGGTGGATACTGAGGTGGTGGAGCGGTGTCAACAGCGACCAGTTCCGGTGACTTGGGTCTTACACTTTTCCTTTCCGGACTCAAACTCGCCGGCGGCGAAATGCTCAGCGATACAGACCGGACCGGTGAACCGGACCCGGAACTCGAGGATGAACTCGAAGAAGATGAGCTACAGCCAACAAATTTCTCAACTTCAACAGCAGAAAAATCTCTCCGGGACAGTGAGTCACCTCCGATTGAACTCTCTCTACCACCCATAGATCCCGCAGAAGAGTAAAAATCTACATCATTTTCAGCAGTACCGGAGAAAAACCTGGTATTCCCATAACTCTGTCTCAAATTCCGTCCATGTAACGGCGGCAATGGACGGAGCTCCGGCGAGTCCATTTTTCTCGAAGAAGGAGTAGAGCTAGTGTTACTACCATTACGATTCTGAGCATTATGTGTTTCAACTCCGCCATGTGAGCTAGCAAGAGTACCCAAATAGAGAAACTCCGAACTAGTTTGAGACGGTCTTTGAAGCTTAGGAATACCATTATTACCATCACTCCTAGCACCATCCCGACTCAACCCATTGCTATTACTATCAGATCTTTGAGTTTTCCGGTCACTCTGTTTCCTTCGCTTTCGTATATGTAAAAAGATAGCAATAGATAGAACAATGACAGCAGCAAGAACAGAAATAATAGCAGTGACAATAAGTTTATTTGAAACAGGGTTAGATTTGGAGGTATTTGGAAGGATAATAGAAGAAACATTTGCAGGAATGAAATCAGCAGGTGAATCAGGGGGAGGTGGAGGAGAAGGGTAAGTAGGGAAAAAGGGGTTATTATCACTGTTATCAGGAGGAGTAGAGCCTTGAAATGGGTACTCTGTTGGGGCTGGAGGAGAAGGTATGGGTGGTTGAGAAGAAGGTGGTGGTGAGTCTAATGGGAAAAAGGGTTCATGGAGAACACGACGGTTGTTGCCGGAGACGGCGGCGGCGGTGGTGGCAAATGATAAGTGAGGTGAAAAACAGAGGAAGAAGATGACGAAAAAGGAAACCATCATTGTTAACAGATTCTTTCTTTAGAAAAAAAAGAAGAGAACTTTAAGAACTGAATCAAGAATCAAGAAGAAGTTGCTTACTATTGAGCATATATTTTATTTAATTTAGCTTACATTATTTAATTTTTTTGTGAATAATCAATCTGCTCTGTTCTTTGTGAATGTTCAGCAAGATTCCTTTTTTGGAATTTGGTCAAATAAGAAATGGTAATAGAAGACAAATTGCTGAAAGCATAGGGGGGGGGGAGTTGTCTGTGTTTACAGTGAGGAAAAAAGACAGAAATTTGAAGAGAGAAAAGAAGAAACCAAGAGAGTGACAGAAAGCAGAGGGAGAAAACAAAAAAAAAATCTAAGGGGAGAAAAAGTTTCTCTGTGTGTGAAAAGGTAGAAAATTGGGAAAGATTATGGAGTAATTATTGTATTAAAAAGTACATTCATGGAAGACAGAGATTTTGGATGGTGCAAATCCAGCTAATTTTATTCTTAGCTGGTGAGTGACAATGCTGCCTGTTGTACCATTGTGATGGGTAGTGAAACTGATTCATTAATTTCGACTTATATTGAGAAATATTATATCTAAAATGAATTGTGAAGCTTTAATATAAATAACGAACATAAAAAAAAAAAGGAAGAAGAAGACAGTGCTACCAGTTGTTGTGAAGTGATGATTCATGCAACGATACAAGTTGAGTTATAACGCCGTATCTCATAAGTCATAAGTGGCCCTTTTTTAGTTTAATTTTTTCCCCATTAAAATTTAAAAAGTATTATTCCCTCTATCCCAATTTATGTGATATTTTTCGTTTTTCGAGAGTCAAACAGTTTAAGTTTGACCGTAAATTTGCGTATGAAATCTTTAATTTTTTTGAAATAAAATTTATAAATTTGTAAACTACGTAAAAAGTATTATAACTCACAATAATTGATAATTCAAAATGTTTAAAAGATCTATGAAAAATTTACGATCAAAGATAGACTTGTTTGAATCTCAAAATCCGAAAAGTGCCACATAAAATGGGACGGAGGGAGTAATAAGTTACTAATTTTTTATAGTGTATTAATGTTTGAAAGTGATTTAGAATTTTTTTAAATAATAAATTATAAATCAAAAATAAATTCTTTTAACTTGGGACAAAGGGAACTTTATATTCAGAGCAACTCGAACATTTGATTAAAAATGAAGGAGTGCTTATCATTCCAATACAATCTTAATAGATTTGGATGTGTTACTCGATCATATAAGCGGACACCTATAGTCATACAAGGGGATGCACATGCACCCGTTAACTTCAGAAAAAATCATGTATATATATGTATATCTATTTTGAGAAACTGACAAAAATTAGGTATAGTTAACGATGCACCTATGAGGAGTATAAGAAGAAGTGCCCTTGTGTTGCTGATACAAACAAGCTAGTAGTACCACCCTCGAGATTAGAGTTTGAATAAAAAATTATTTTCTTAAATACATGATGACATTATATTGTAGATGGCAATAATTTAAACTTGATTAATTTTCTTGAAAGAACAGAAAGGGCAATGTGATTTATTTATTAATTAATTAGTAGTGAATTTTGGATGCTGCGCTGCATGGTTCATACTTACATTGCATTGTTATTATTTTATTATAAATAAATTAAAGTAGTAAATTTATATTCCTAGACTAGAAGACACCAATAGTAATATACATTTTTAAAAAGAGCAGCGTAATTTGACTATACAGAAGAATGTGGCCGACATTGATTTACAAATAATATTTTTATATAACCAAAAAATATATTTTTTAAAACTTCATAGACATTAGTATTCTCCTTATCCAATATTTAAATCAACATAAAATCACCTCCCACGTACATTAGGTATATAAACTAGTAATAATGCACTATATTATGTTTCAAAATGAGTCATCAAAACCAAGGTAAACAAAGAGAAACAATCTACTTCCTTTTTATAGATTTAAGTTTTTTTATATGCATTATCTATACAAAACTTTAACAATGTAATTTTATAAACAAAGTTTAAAAAAGATTACACAAATTTTACTCATTTTATGGAGATAAAAAAGATATATTTGAGAGATCCTTGACTCAAGTAACACATCAAATATATATATATGTGAAATTATTTTATATATGAATTTATTACACCCTACCAAATGATCACTGAGAGTGTCCCATTAGTAGTATCTAAACAATTCTTAATTTAAAAGTAAAAAAGTTGCAAATTGTAACTTTAGAGAAAACTTTTGTGTAACGGACAAAACAAAAGTAACAAATAATTTAGATGTTTCTGATGATAGGTAGATCCATTTCTTTAATGCATGAAGTTTTGACCCAACTAACCCATTATTTAAAGTATTTAACAAAAGTAGTATAATTTTTTGAAATTTTACCAAAATAGAATAAATGTACTTCTGAGTAATGTTTTATAAAAAATTTATTCTAAAGAATCAGCAAATAATATTTAATTATAAACGGCGTTAAAAAAAGTATTTTGTGATCAACAATTACGACATGAGATAGTACGTATTTCGGAGTAACGTTTTAATTAACGATAAAAAGACGTGTGAATCTTGGGGAGGCAACAGGGCAATAAGTTTTAGGGCTCTGTGACAGGAAAAATGTTATTTCGGTGATTCTTCATTTCCAATTTCACCATATGTGATACATCAAATTGATGTTGGGACTTTTCGAAAATGTTCAACTCCGATTAAAGTTTCGTGATTTAATTTTTTTTCTATTCTATTGTATTTTAAATTTTGCAATTGCTGATTGTGAACATATTATCAAAATTTTGTGATTTGCAATTTTGATTTACTGTGTAATACGATTTATTTTTTGGTTTTTATTTTAAATGTTGTATTATATTTTTGGTTGAATGCTGTTGAAATTTGACGTCATGTTAATTTTGAAAATGTGTTTTGCTGTAAATAAGTATTGAATTTGAAAACATGAGATTCAAATATTATTATGATATTATGAAAAATGAATTTTTAAACTTTTCCGGTAAAACTGAAAAGATGCGGTGGTGTTGTAGAATTAGGATGAAGGAAAGTGGAGATGAATGAAGATTTACCTGAGAGATTGATTAAATTCATGGTTGTACCAGAAAATCGTTACCTCATGGTAACGTTTTAAGATTAAATTGTTACTCATGGTAACGTTTTATACTTCTGTTAAATCTTTCTACCGTTAGTTTTGTCCGTTGAAATTTTTTAATATAATAATTTATAAAACGTTACTGACAAATACGTTTAATCTATTTGGGTAAAATTTCAAAAAAATGTTTTATTTTGATAAAATATTTTACATAATGGATTATTTCTGTCAAAAATTCTTAATGCATTTATTATCTTCTATCCGTATGATATTTCTCATTAATTTAACTAATACTTCACTTATTGAAGCTATAGTAGTGATTTTTTGTAAGAACAAAAAATCTTTTAGAGATTTTAGAACAAATTTATCTTTTGCTAAAGTCCAAAACAACTAGTAATATTTGGGACCGAATAAAGTAATAATCTAGTACTCAATCACACTTTTATCATTTTTAGTTTTCGTCCAAAAGAAAATGACGCAATTTTATATTTTAAATGATATAATTTTGTATTAATAAAATAATTTATAATCACGCAAGTTATTCATCAGCAACAACTATATATCCGATGATTAAACCTCATAAGTGTTGTCTAGAGAGGATAGAATGTACATAGATTTTATCACTACTTCGTGGAAGTAGATATTTTGTTTCTAAAAGAACCTCATAATAAATCCAAATACAAAGAAGAAGGATATAGTAAAGAGAATATAGCAAGTAACAAGGTATCAATGCAAACCTTATTAAAAAGGAGTTAAAAATAATATGATAATCAAAACATAATAAATAAGATATTAGAATAGACACAAAACATCTATCATATATTTTATTTAAATAAATCATAAAAAAATTATCTATATCATATCAAATGATGTTACATAAATTGAGACAGAAAAAACACAATAACATAAAAACAACTGACAAATGAGTCCAATTATCATGTGAAACTGAAGCAGATCATCAGTTCATGGAATTGGAAGAAGTAACCATTTTGGACACTCACAAACATGCAAAAGGCCTTTCAGAAAAATAAGGATAAACTATATAATAAAATTTGGACAAGTTTCCCATTATAATAATCTTTGTTTCTTATAATATAAAGTTTGTCAATATTATCATTTTGGGACCAAACTTTTAAACGTCTTTAAACTTTAGGACAAATACTTTCCCAATAATGTAGAGCTCCATGCATGGACACATATAGGCTCCTATTTCTTTACTAAACAAAATAATTGTAAGAGACATGAAATAATACAATTAATCATTTAAGCACAATAATAATTACTATTTGTCACTTATTGTAAAGATTTATTACAAATGATAAAGTATTAAAGTAACAAAAAAGATAAAAATGATATCTCAATGACATGAGTAAAAAAGTTTCAAGAATCTACTAGCCGTTTCGTTTTGTAAACATCTTGGAAAAGTTTGTCCCAAAAACAATCGGGAAAATAATTTTCTTGAGTCGATAGTTTATCAAAAACAATTTATTTACTCTATTAAAGTAAGGATAAAATTTATGTGCACGGTGTACCTTATCTTTTTCAAATCGTACTCATAAAAATAGATTCTTGTGATCTAATTTATTTTTCTGAATTCCGCACCTAACGAAAGCTTAGTATCAAACTTTTTTTTTCTTTTTGACATTGAGTGCAATAATTATTTACATTATCGTTGCATAAAGTTGAAAGTAGTTTTACAATTAGTATGCCAAAAGATAAAGAAAAAAGTCCTAAAACACCAAAAAAAGCTTTAGTGGAGAATCTCTCTTTATATAATTACTTTTTTTTTTTTTTATAATCTTTCCATCGTTTTTTCCCCTTTGTATGATCTAAAATTTGTCCGTACTTTAAATCATTTTTAAAAGAAAATTTTCCATCATTATTGCACCTATTCAGCATCGCACTCAATTAATATTAGTAGTATATTTAATATGGAATTAATAACGATTTATTAATAAGACCAAAGTGGTGAATTTAATTATTTATTTGACGAAGAGCCTAATAGCTTAATGCTACTTTGTGACAAGCGATGCCTTTAAGCATCCAAAATACGTCGAAATTAAAACTGATATATTGTTCATGATAGAAAATGAGTTAAAGTCCTGCTCCGACCATCTATTGAGTCATTAATCTACTTAATAAGACTCTCCCACAGTCTATCCTTTCTTTAGTTATTTGATTATGTAATACTTATTAAAT